TGCAGGCTCCTCCGTGGTGACTGACAGGTGTCCACCTGGAGGGTGTGGCTGGCGTGGGGGCCGCAGGTGGGGGTGACCGTAGATGGGAAATCTCTGTACCTTCCACTCAATTTTGCTCTGAAGCTTAAACTGCTCTAAAGATAAAATTTAGCTTGGATCTCTGTGCCCAAGGCACCTCTGGAGAAGGGCAGCACGCGGCCGAGAGCTGGCAGCAGCCCCGGGCGTCCCCTCGGCATGTTAATGGCCGGGTCACCGGGGTCTCCGTGAGGCACTGGCTGTGCCTTCACAGAGCAGCTGCACGGCCAGCTGTCCGCCGTGTCAGGAAACACGGGCCACTGACGGGCTCCATGTGCTGACGGAGCAGTGTGTGGAAGCGGAACAAGTGTGCGGAACCAGTCAGTGCAGCACACAAATGTCTCTGGTCAAGGAGGCAGTTTTGCCGTCGGCAAAGTAGATTCGGGAACACGAACAGGTGACCTGCACTGTCAATCATCTCATTCACCCCTCAGCCCGACAGTCTCACCTGGGGGGGGGGGGGGGGCGGGTTCCAAGAAGATAAAGGACAGTCATTGCTTTGTCCCTTCAAAGCCTGGAGCAGCCCGCATGATGCCACACACAACGTGGAAATGAAGGAAGGATTCAGTGAGTGACGTGCCGTCTCCAACTATGGATTTCTTTCTGAACATTTTTATTCTTTGTTAGAAAGACTATTCTTTTAGGACTGGCTGTTCTATCTGCGTGTCTGATTTGAAAGAAATGTTTCTTCCCTATCATACATTGTATTGACGTGTAACATACACAAAAGTATGCAGATGATGTCTAGTTCGACTAGTGATAGTAAAGCTGTAATATTTAAACCGTACAAGGATATCTTTCATCTTTCACCTGCAACTATTCTACGCAAGCATATTACATGTATGTGTCTCATATAAGCATCCTATACTTGTTTTATATTATTCTGAATTATTTATATTACTGAATTATTATATTTCCGCGCACGAAATTCATGCACTCGGGGGTCCCTAAGCCTGGTCTGCGCCCTCTCACAGTCCAGGAGCCCTCGGGGGATGTCCGACTGCCAGCTTAGGCCATGGGGAGCGGGCCTACACTGGCATCAGACATCCTTAGCACTGTTGTGGAGGCGGGAGAGGCTCCTGCCACCACTGCTGCACTTGCCAGTTGTGAGCTGGGCTTCTGGCTGAGTGGTGCTCCCCCTGAGGGAGTGCACTGATGACCAGAGGGCAGCTCCTGTGTTAAGCATCTTCCCCCTGGTGGTCAGTGTGTGTCATAGCGACCGGTTGTTCCACTGTTTGGTCAATTTGCATATCAGCCTTTTATTTTATAGGATTTTTAACTAGAGAGTTTTGTCTTATTTAGAAAATATTTAATGAACTAAAGTTCATTTTTTATTTTCCATTTTTTATTAGTCAGTTATTTTCAATTATCCCTTTTATTGAATTGCATTTATTTCCCCCAACACTTCAAAGATGTCATTCTGTTGTCTTTTTATTTGTTGGTTTCTATTATGAAGAATTCTATGAGCCTAGTACTTGGTCTTTTGAAAATAATGTTTCTTTGTGTCAGGCCTCTTCTTGTCCTGATTTTCAGCAGCTTTACTATAAAGTGCCAGGTGCGGTTTTCCCAGCATTATCCTGACGGGCATCTCCATCTTGATGTCTGTTGTTGGTGTTGAAAAAGTTAATGGTGATTTGTCTTCAAGTATGATTATGTCCCACTTTCTCTTTCTTCCCGAAGTCCAGTTACACATACATTTTCTGTAGGTATGTTCCCGCCCCCCACCTACTTCACTTTGAATATTTTCTACTAAGATCTCTTCCAGTTCAGACCATATATGTTGAGTTCTGTATTGAAAATATTCTGTTTTTCAAGTTTTATATTTCTGTTTGATTTTTTTGTTATAGATACAGTATTCTGGGAAAATTCATCATTTCAGTGATTTTCTTAGACATATGAATCATAGTTAATTATAAAAGTCCCCAAGTGTTAACTGCAATGTCTAGGTAGCTTCCTTTACTTTTGTCTATCTTCAATTTTCTTACCTTTTCAAAGAACCACTCTTGGTTTTATTGATATTTATTTCCACTGTGATTTTTCTTATTTCCTTTCTTCCACTTACTTTGGGCTTTTATTCTTGATATTTTTCTATTTCATTTAGTTGTCAGGTTAGATTGTCTGAGGTTTTTCTTGGTCCTTGAGGCAGGCCTGTAATGCTATGAACTTGCTTCTCAGAATTACTTTTGCTGTGTCCCATAGATCTGGGGTTGTTGTTATGTACAATTTCATTTGTTTCCACGAAGGTTTTTTTTTTTTTTAAATTTCTTCCTTGCTCTTCTCAGTAACCCATCTATTGTTTAATAGTATTTCAACTTCAGATTTGAGTGATAGCCTTGCTGGGTAGAGTAGTCTTGGTTTCAGATGCTTGCTTTTCATTACCTTGAATACTTCATGCCATTCCCTTCTGGCCTGTAGTGTTTCTGTTGAGAAACCAGCTGACGGCATTATGGGAGTTCCCTTGTAGGTAACTGACTGTTTCTTGCTGCCTTTAAGATTCTCTCTTTGTCTTTAACCTCTGCCATTTGAATTATGCTGTGTCTTGATGTGGGTGTTTGAGTTCATCTTGTTTGGGACTCTGTGTGCTTTCTGAACTTGTGTGATTATTTTCTTCACTAGGTTAGGGAAGTTTTCTGTCATTATTTCTTCAAACATGGTCTCTACACTGTGTTCACATTCTTCTCCCTCTGGTACTCCTATGATGCAGATGTTGTTACCTTTCATGGTTTCCCAAAGTTTGCTTCAACCATCCTCATGCTTTTCTTAAAAATAATTTGCTGCTGTGATTGAGTGATTTTTGTCTACCTTGTCTTCTGATTTGCTGATTTGATCCCCTGCTTCCTCTAACCTATACTTTATTCCCTCCAGTGTATTTTTTATTTCAGATATGTCATTCTTTACTTCTGACTGGTTGTTTTCCTTGGTTTCTATGTATTTTTTCATGCTGTTGAGCATTCTTAAAGCCATTGCTTTCTACCTGTTTCTGATAAGTTGCTTGCCTCCATCTGATTTAGCTCCTTTTCTGGAGATTCCTCCTATTCTTTCATTGGGGCCCGTTTCTTTGTCTCCCCATGTTTGCTGTTTCTTTGTGTTTGTT